TTCGTTGATTCATTTTTTATTACAGAAGTTAAAAAATTACATTTTTGAAACGGACATTATTCATTCTGCCACTGCGTTTTGTTTAGAAGGCATCTCTTTAATTCTCTTACCCAGAAATCAGCTGATGATGAACGGATATATTATTTTGCTGATTGCTTATAGAACTTAAAACAGAAGAGTGAAAAAAATAAAAAGAGTGAAAAACAGGTTAACTCAGATTTGTTAAATGTCATTAATTTTCTTCTGCTTCTGATACCTGAAGGAAAAGTGATGACTAATGCCCAACTTGATAGCTATTTATTTTCTCTATTAATTCATAAGAACAAACTCAGTGATAGAATTGTCATATCTATATTCATCTATTTGAACGTTGATATTTTAATTTTGAAAGAATTTTTGTTAGGAACTTTGTCTCCCACCTAACACAATAGCAAAGTGATCTTCCCTGTGACAACCACAGATGTGATGTGCCCATGGAATTCTAAGTGTTTTTTCTGAAGTATTTTTGTACAAAGCAACCAAAAGCTTTCAGTGCATTTTCCTTTGCTCACGGCCTACTTCTGATTGTCATATACCACCTACTTAAAGCAAACATTCTTTGTAATTTCTATTTGTCAAGGTCAAAGGGTATCTCTAAATCAGAGAATGTAGTATTTCCAATTTATGAACAATGCTCAGTACCCTAACAGATTATAAAAATTGTGTGTTATTAACTATAAAGTGGATAGAGAAATTAATTTTTTCTTTTATTGATATCACGGTAGGAATATTCACAGGTCTGAGCAATTAAAATATCTGAGGGCTCTTTCTTTTAGAACTGCTGAATGTCTTACATATAATTCAAAAATTAAATTACAGGAAAAATGAGTGCTGTTTGAGCCCAAAACTTGTGTTCTCCTCTCTTTTCTTCAAGTTTTATTTAAATTCCAGTTAGTTAACATACAGTGTCGTACAGTTTCAGGTGGGGGCACCTGGGTGGCTCAGTTGGTTAAGCATCTGACTTCAGCTAAAGTCATGATCTCATGGTTTGTGAGTTCCCGACCCGGGTTGAGCTCTGTGCTGACAGCGTCTCTCTGCCCCTCCTCCACTCACTCCCTCTCACTCTCAAAAAAAAAAAAAAAAAAAAAAAAAAAACAAAGTTAAAAAAAAAATAGTTTCAGGTGTACAATATTGTGATTCAACATTTCCGTACAGCACCCAGTGCTCATCTCAGCAAGTGTGCTGGTTAATCCTCATCACCTATTTCACCCATCCTCCCACCTTATCTCTCCTCTGGTAACCGTCAGTTTGTTCTCTATAGGCAAGAGTCTGTTTCTTGGTTTGCCTTCATCTCTCTTGTTTAACGCCTTTGTTTGTTTGGTTTCTTAAATTCCACCTAAGAGTGAAATCATATGGTCCTTGTCTTTCTCTGACCTATTTCACTTAGCATAATACTCCCTAGCTCCATCTATGTCATTGCAAATGGCAAGATTTCATTCTTTTCATGGCTGAATAATATTCCATTGTATATATACACACACCACTTCTTTATCCATTCACAACTTTCTGGGCGACCGCGCTGTTTCCATAATTTGGCTGTTGTCGATGATGCTCCTGTAAACACGGAGGGACATGTATGTTTGTATTCTTTGGGTAGGTACCTAGTGCAATTGCTGGATCCTAGGGTAGGTAGTTCTATTTTTAACATTTTTAGGAACCTCCATACTGTTTTCCAGAGTGGCTACCCAGTTTGCATTCCCACCAATAGTGCAAAAGGGTTGCTTTTTCTCCACTTGGTTGCCAACACATGTTGTTTCTTGTGTTTTTTATTTTAGCCATTCTGATAGGTGTCATGTGATATCTCACTGTGTTTTTGGTTTGCATTACCCTGAAAATGAGAGATAGTAAGCATATTTTCATGTGTCTGTTGGCCATCTGGATGTCCTCTTTGGAAAAATGTCTATTCATGTCTTCTGCCCATTTTAATTGGATTATTATTTGGGTATTGAGTTTTGTAAGGTCTTTATATATTTTTGATATAACCCTTTATCAGGTATGTCATTTGCAAATATCTTATCCCATTCCATAGGCTGCCTTTTAATTTTGTTCGTTGTCTCCTTCACTGTGCAGAAGCTTTTAAAAAGCAAAAATAAACTATTGGGGCTTCATCTCCCCTTTTCGTTTTAAAAAATATTTCCATTCATTCAGTAAATATTTCATAAGCACATGTGAAATTTTACTTGGAAATATGCATACTTACATCTGTGTAATTAATGATGTTTTTAGACTGTTGTGGATTTAGTAGCTGTGACACAGTGAATTCTGGCTCAATTTTGTTACCTACTAACAAAGTAGCCTACTAACCGTAATGAAACGCTCCCAGGTTCAGTGAGTTGAGTTCTTTCCACCTTGCTATTGGAAGTGTAAGTGACACAAGGAATAATTTAAAAATAATTTTTGAGATCTTCAAAATTTTATAATCTTTGACTTAGTAATTCTCATCCTAGAACTCTGAGTTAAGAAAGCAGAAACTCAGGTAATGATTTATGTATAAAGAAGTTCAACATTATTTAATTTAAAATTGTGAGTAACAAATCTATCAAGAAATTGGTACTAAATTAATGCTATATATCTGAATTCCTGTACCATATATTCAGTTGTGCAAAGATCAGCACAACTATTTCCACTTGAGAGTCAAACTTTTCAAATCAGAAGCAAAAGCTTACAAGCTCAAAGAAGGTCACAACAAAATGCATTTGCCACAACCCTGATAACCAAGTTCCAACCAAACTTTTTACTACCTAAGAACCATTACATTCCAATTACTATCATATTACCCATTTTCATTATGGCCATTATTTTATCATTACCCATTTTTTCACTGTTCTTTATGACTGACATCACACTTGAAATTACCAGATATTTTGTATTATTATTTGTCTCCTTGTAATGAAATACAAGCTGCATGAGAGTTTGGCCTATTGTCTTCAGGATTCCCTATTAACAAAAACATATTTCCTGTTTATTGTAGGCACTCAAATATATTTAATAAATAGGTGAAAAAATTAGTAATAGGATATCATGGAACTGTTAAAACACTTGTAATATTTCAGGCATATATTTATAAAAATGAGTGTTCAGCAAAATTGTAGTTACTTCTTACACGTATATTTATAAGCAGAAGGAAATGGAAATATTAATATGTTAAGAGTGATAACTCACAAAAGTATTAAAAGTAGAAATTTTTATTTCCACTCTTTCCTTGCTAAATTCTCTGAAATGGGTATTACTAATTTTCTAATCAGAAAAGTAAACACAGTATCTCAAGCTAATGATACATAATAGCAAATTCTATAGACACTTTTCTCTTTTAACTCCTTAATATATATCCCCTTGAATATACTACTAGAACAATTAAAAACCTTAGGAGAAAAAAATAACATATACATAACATGAAAAAAAAGATGTATACAGATACTAAAAGAAATCTCTCTTGATAAAATCAAAGATTATCAAATGTTTGGTAGTTGATAAATGTTCAAATATGTTAAAACTGATGATTTACTAAAGAATCTTGTATGAGCATAAAAAGTTGATTTTCTTTTAATATTTATAAAGGAGAAGTTTTTCATACCACTTTCTGAGTGAGAGAAAAATTACAAAAAATTACTTAATACCCTTTTGGAAAGTATCTTTATTACAAAATATCAACTATCATTATATACCTCATATGCCATTATATTTCTAACATCCTTATAAAATGAAGTAATCATTGACTGTAATTTTCTTTACATGATTGTTTATAAAATACCATTAAGGTAGTCAAGGATCTATAAATAAGTCAAAATATTTTTCTCTCCCAGAGATCTAGCCACTTAAATATTTGTTATTTTAAAAATCATATTGAATATATAATTGTTAAAAATACTAAATGTTTTTATTTTTTATTTTTCATTTTTAAAAATTTTTGTTGTGATAACATCAGTTTTAATTCTAGCACCTGAAGCTATACAAGGGTATGCTTTATCAACTTCACGGGGCTGTTGTACACATTCAATAAAGTGACAACCGTGCAATATCACTTAGTATCTCACCATCAGGAACATACTTCTGAATTGTTGAAACACATCCACAAAATTAAAAACAAAAATCAGAAGCCATCCACAGTTATACTAATCATCAAAGAGAAGTTTTACACTTACTACTTGATAGAACAGTCAGTACCTAGTAC